TTTTCAAACTCAGTAATTTCCAAGTTTCTCTTTAGAAAACTTTTGAAAATCAGAAACCTCAAAGTTTCTGTGTATTTTTTCTGCCTCCAGTGGCCCTGATGCGCCGTCATAAATGTCCCCCATCGTGTCGGAGGGAAGGTGCAGACAGTATTTCTTGCGGACTGGACCGGGCCCATGTGCTCACGGCTCGGCCCAGAACTGAGAGGAAAACCTCTGGAGATCAGGACTGGCTTCAGATTCAGACACTTTGTCAGCGTTTTGTCACAACCACAAACCAAAACACGCCTAACGGGGAGTTTATGTAAAGAGTCAAAGACTGACGGCAATAATTTGGGTCATTTTTCTTAAGAGAAAAACATGGAAGCTGTTTTTAAAACATGTATATTTTCACCATGTTATTTATTTATAACCGTCACAATTTCAAAATATCTATTGAAGTAGATAAAAATCTATTTTGGAGATAAATATAGATATGTAACCTCAAGCTAAGTATTTAGTTCACAGGCTACATATTTACCTTCAAACTAAATAGAATTTGAAGCTAAAGATTTAGTTTGCTAACTAAATAGTCAGTTTGAAGCTAAATGTTAAGCTAATAAGCTAAATATTTAGCCTTAAACTAAATATCTAGTTACTAAGCAAAACTAGTTCAAAGCTAAACATAAGTATAACTAGCTAAACATTTAGCTCTACACAGCTCCAGATCACCTGCTGGAGTAACAATCAGTTCTAAACATTGACTGGCTTTAACTCCTTTACTCTGCTGCTGGTTTGTTAAATAAATCTCTAATCATATTTTCCAGTTTGTGGTTGTAGCAAAATGAAAAGCGTAGAAAAGTCGAGGCGATGTGAGTCGATGTTTCTGCTCTGCAGGATTGTTCCTGGTCGTACACACAGCAGTGCAAAGAATGAGTATTTTAAACAGATAAATCTTTAACACACCTTACAGTCTAAGGATAAAGCGAATGAAAACGCGTCGTCCATCTGAGTCGATCGGTTCAGCCTGGCAGTGTCGGCTGGTTTCACAGAGGTTTGGTCCAGCATGGCGGCGGAGGGGAGCGGGGCGTTTTATTGCAAAGGAGGAGAAAATTCATCTCAGCAGCTGCGTTTCCTTCCACCTTCAAATTCAGCAAATTGGAATTATGAAAATAAATTCATTAGATTGAAAAACTCAGGTGAGGCAGTAATATGTGTTTTCCAGGCACAGAGTGGATTATTTTTACAATGTAGCATTTACATTTTACTTTTAATGTAACGCCTAGAAATTGGATCTTTGTCACTTTAAGAAGCTCCTGCTCTTTCTGAAGCTCCGCCTTCAGGAAGTCGTCACAACATGG